CCTGGACTTGATGATCTGAGAGGTCCTAAAAAAACCCTTTAATTGTTATAAAATTCTAAGGCACATCACGAAAGGTGAAATCCCTTTGGCTGCCAGTCCATTTGCTTTAGCATCACAGAGAAGGGATAAAGGACTAGAACCAGTTCACTCAGGAAATGAAGCCCTGCTGCTGTGAGGGGGGAGGAACCCATAGTAAGAAATTACTTCTCGAGAAAAGAGCATAATTGTGAGACATTTTGTAGTTGTAATGCCTCACGGATAGATTTGCATTTGCATATTACACACTAACCAGTCCCTTGTGCATCATTTAAACTCTCTTCACACAGGCAATGCTCTGTCAGTTTTCATAACCCAGCTGCCTGTACAGGAATTGTTCTGTTTTCCCTCCTGAAGCTGTATGTGAAAGTAGAAACATTCTGTGCTCACAACTGGCTTTGTGGAATAGGTATTTTTGTCAAATCTCTGCAAACTGAGAAAATATTTTGCCTACGGATTGAACAGGAGCTGCTACATAATGCAATAAATTTTGAATTTCATAATCAGTGAGAGCTGATCTTTTTCTTCCTTGTAGCTATCATTAGCAGATGTTGCAGGTTTTTGGTATTTGCTGCACAGTGCTCCACAGAGACACAGATACACACAACTCTTCTCCATCAATAGGGTGAGCAGTCCCAGTGTCACAGGCTGCTGTTCTCATTCAATTTCTGCAAGCCTCATGATCACTCCCTGTTCTTTCACAGCTCTGGGCCAGCATGACCAAATCTTAACGAGCGTGCCTGTAATTTTCTGTGAAACATCAAGAAACCTCAGTGGCACAGACAGATTTCAAAAGGACAACAGTTATTATACACAAATCCACAAGGCCTTAGTATTTGCACAGCCACTCTGTGTCAAGGGCTTTGTGGCTCCTGTAAATTGAAGACACAAGAGTTACAGGAGTTGGTAACTACAAAGCTGTAGCTGAAAGTGACCTCCTTTTGCTTCAGACCTGTGTGCCTGCATACTTGCTACAAATGGACTGTCTGCCCATTTCCACCAGTCCGGATGACCCAGCCATGCACTTCACCTCTCACTGGAGCTAAACAGCCTCTCCTGTTCCCCTGGGACCAACTTGCCTTCCCTGCTGATAAAGTGGTGCCCTTGAGGGAAAGGAAGAGGGGTATTTTGCCACTCCATCAGATGAAAGCACCTCCTTCCCTGTGCCTTTCTCCTCTAAAGCCTCCAGCCCCAGCCCAGGGGACTGAAGAGCATTACCAAGCCGTGCAGTCCAAAGCTGTGCAGTGGGGAAACACACACAAATCTGTCAGTATCCAAATGTCTCAGCTCACCTCCATGGGGCAACGCTCTTGTAAGGCCATGATGGAAAAAGCCAATTTGTACTTTTACTGCTACAAATGCTGGAGGAGACTGGGCTGGAAAGGAGGGTGCAACACCAGCCTTTTTCCTAATGCAGTCATGCTGCTCTCGCTGTGCCTGGGGGGCTGCATCAGGCAGCTCATCCCACAGGGAGGGAGAGTCCAGCACCACTTGTAATGGGGGCACCAGGCTCAGCAACAGGAAATCACCATCCTCATTCAGCTATGTGCACTTCTGAAAAATGACTTGGCTATGACACCAGAACCAAAGGAGGTTGTGTTTTTCTGGTTGACGTTTGTAAGAGGAAGCAAAAGGCCAGCTGCTGGTTACACTGGCTGGCACAGGCTCCTCTTAGTTTCAGGGATAAAACATGGATTTGACAAAAACAGCAAATGGTGAAACGCACAAAACCAACCACAACTGCTTCAAACTACAGCATTTGCCTGCTGTAGATTATTTTTGCAGAATACCAGCAGGTCATTGACTCACATGGATAAGTATTACCTGGCAGCAGAATTATCATCGATTTCGTACGATTGATTTCTCAGCCAGAGAGTAACATACTAAATCTTTTCTGTTAAAAGAACAAACTGCCATGACAGGAGAACGTAAATTATTCTGGAAGACCACAGCTTAAAGACCAGAAAACCTTTCAGAGGTGTTTTTCACTGCCTGATGGAGGAAAGAGACTTGTTTTGCTCCTTAGTGCTTTCCAAGCAGTTATTTTATGGGTCTCAAACCTCCATGTTGTCAAACCAGAATTCTTCATTAAAAAGATCTTGCATACAATAGACTATAAACTGAACCAAAGGAGATTGTAAGTACTAAAATATACAATGAAACAGGACTGACTGCCAAGCAAACTGACAGGGGGAATTCAAACTAAGATTGTTTTTCTATTATTATCTTACCTCATTATAAGTCAGAGCTTTTGTTTACCCTGGAAAGAGCCATGTTTCTGGTTTTGCATTCCTTCTGTGCCACTCTGAATGTGTCCCCTTACTCCTGCAATGCCTGGCCTCTCAGCAGACTTGCTTTTCTCTTGGTTCACTTGATTAGAAATACAACATAGCCATGTTTGTGGCCCATTTATGAGGCTTCTTAATCTGGAGTACACTAGAACAGAATTTGGCAAAGACAGCTGCCCGGTATTTATTCTTTTACCTCTTCAGTCCTGGAGTCTGCTCAGTTCTTCATCTTAAATTAATACATACACAGGTAAAATGTGTGTATTTCTACTGCAGGATATGAGGTAAGAGGAAAGTGGAGCATGTAATACCCACATGCCCCAACTTGAGAGTCCAATTTGCCCTTGCCATGCAACCAGGGTAGGCAGCAGGAAGGCCATGGCCATACCCAGCTGCTGCAACAGTAAAATCTGGTGTTTGAGGAGCTCTATTGGTTCTGCACATGGGTTAATATAGCACTGATTTACCTAAAAAGGGCTCAAAAGTGTTTCCATGCCCCTGTGCTGTGATGCAGAGATGTGTATCACATTCACAGGGCTACTCCCAGTGATCTGGGAGTGTGCTCATGCCCAAGGATGTAATTGTACCCCCAAGCTTTTGGAGCTCAGGAATAGCATAGCTGTTAGAAGAAGAAAAATGTCTTGCCTGTAACTCTGCTGTTTTAGGACCTCATCACAAACATGCTGGCTCTTGGTCCTCCCTCACTGCTGCCAGCCCTCTCTCAGCAGTGCACCTGAGTTTTCTGGCTCCAGAGTAGGTCCTCATCCCTCACACCAGCCCTTACTGCCTTCTCTTGTTCTGCTTCCCCCATCACCAACTTCTTTTCCTGTGTAAATGCCTCTTTTCTCAGTGGCACTGATGTCTGCTCTGCTCTTATCTTTCCACTAGAGTTCCCTACTCCCAGTGCCATCTCACTATTATTTTACCTCTTCCCTTCCTCTTCTGTACACGAGATACAATCAGTCCCGGGCGCCTTTCATGCCCTTTCCTCCACAAGACCAAAGTTGTAACATCTGTATGGTGTCCTCTGTGTTGTTGCCTGGTCTCCAGTTGCTCCCACTGCAATGCACCAATTTTCTGGCCACAGAAACATTCAGCATGCCCACCTGCACTCACAGCAGTCTGTGGAAATTTGTACTCCTCTCCCCAGCTTTTTCTGTTGAATCATCTTATCTTTTTGCATGGAATTTTTTACTATTTGGATTAAAGTTTCCCATCTATTGATGATTAAATTAGTTTAGAAACTTCTGAAGTATGTTTTAATAACAAAATACTGTTCCTCCAGTGTTATGTACTCGGCATTTATACAGACCTATTTCATATGATAATGTTATTGTCTCCCCACATAAGAGAAGTTCTGAGTAGAAGAGTTAATCAAAACTTAATTTTCTCAAAGTATCATAGATGAATGCTCCTGAACCCAATTAGTATGCTTTCTGCTAGTCAAATAGACACAAAGATACTAAGGGTGGAGGAAGGAGAAAGGAGACATGAACAGTATTTCTCATGAAATAAATTCCTATAATGGGAGTCGATTTGACTATAATTTGATGTAAAAATGTCTATTTTTTTTACATCCAGTGCTAAGAGAAGTGGAAATAGTTTGCACTTGAATTTTACTTTAGTTTTCTTTTGGGAACACCGAAAGAAAGTATTATTACTGTTCCCTCATCAAGTTCACTGTCTTCTACATTTTCACACTTTTGGATGGATGAACATCACTGAAAGGTTCATGCTCATGTGCTCCCCCCCATTGCTGACTCTGGATTGAAATGAACCAGATTTAAAATGAGCCCTGACTGAGGGAAAACTGTTTGGTAAATGTCTCCATGAACCTCCAACCTCAGCCCTACAGATCTCTGCAGAAGCTCAGCAAACTCTCACCAGGCAAGCAGAAAGAGTGCTAACCTATACTCCCACTGCAAACATTAGCTAATTTATCCAGATGTCAGTGTAAAGAGTATGTCTTACCTTTGTTTGTACATGAAATAGGGAGATGGGGTCATGAGGGAGGGAAGGGGAAAAGGGCTCCTTGCTCATACAATGAATACTGTCACAGCTGGTAGATGCTGCTTTGATTTCCCTGCACAAGCATGACTGACAGGGACAGTACTGCCCTGCCAGCGATCCTCAAGGCTGAGGTCATACAGGGATGAGCACACAGGCTCGGGGAGAAGCACTGCCCTCAAAGAACATGAGTGGGGGATCAGTCACAGGGCACAGGTTTCCCTCAGTCTCACCCCTGACCGCGGGACAACTGGAAAAGCAGGTAGGGAGGTGTAAGGAGGAACCCAAGCTTGGGAGCTATGCTGGAAGCACAGAGAACAGAAACTTGACCCTGAGAAAGAAGGGACACAGGTGAAATCTAACCCCTGCAGGGTTTGTGAGCCCTGGAAGCTGCAGCAGCCCCCAGGCAAAGTGAGAGCAAACCTCGTGCTGTAGCATAGGACAGAAGTGGTCTGGCTATTTAAGGCATTTCAACCAAATGTTACTTCCATTCAAGTTAGCAGGACTGCTTGGATTTAGCAGCAGCTGTGTGGGGCTTGGCTGCTGGCTGGAGTTAAACCATGACAGAGGACTAAAGGAAAGCAATATAATCTACTGAAGATAAAAAGCTCTTGACCAACTAATTGAATATTTTTAATGACCTTATAAATTTAACTGACATTGCAAGAGTTTCAATGCTATGAAATAAAAATATTTAACACTTTGCTCACAAAATCCTAATAACACAGGAAAGTAACATAAAATGTGACACATCATATCAAATGAGGCAGAATTGAGAGGAAGGACTGAAGAGACAAAAATCTGCATGAAAGATGCAAGAGGAACAAATCTGATTTCAGCTCCCTTTCTCTCTCTGCTGAGTATAGATGAATCCTAGGAAATTACCTTGCTGTGCCATCACCTTTGAGAATGCTCTGAGGTTGTAAGAGACAATTATGCCTTACACATGATGCAAATATAAAGTCACATCTCTTAGGCACAGAAGTGATGAGCTGCCATGCAGAGGAGCAGGGATCCTGAAGGACTGCTCCAGTGAACAACCAAGCCAACACAAACTACACAGTGTGACGTGCTGGCCCAGGCACATCAATCCCCTTTCTTAATGCATACAGAGCAGACTGAGCAGGGGATACAGAAGTTCCCATACCTCTCCTAGTGTGCTCAAATGTCAGATCAGGTTTGACATTCACACTGAAGCACTGCAAAGTCAGAAATGGTTGAGAGAAGCACCACAAGAATTGTACACATAGCAAGAACATAACAGCAGTGGAAGCAGAATTTTAATGAGAAAGAAATTATAAAAATCAAGATAGGCTTTTAAGTTCCTGAAAAGTGCCACCTAGACAGCTGCAATTTGATAAAGGAAACTGCCTTACTACAATACAGGTCCAGGAGCTGATCCAAGTAGGTGGGCTACCAGCTGTAGGGTCGTGATGAATGATAAATTATCAGAAAAGACTCCTGCAGACCTCTTGCACAACTTTTCATGCAGCTGCACTTAACACTGAATTGATAAGCTACATAACATTAGCCTGCCATAGAACATGTACTTCAAGCATCAATTGTTTTCCTTTTGGTTCTATTTGCAGCAAGATCAAATTGCATTCAAAAAGAGCACACTGGATCATGGCCACTGCTAGGCTGGGGGGCTCCTACCTCAGAAAAAAGCCACTGAAAAATGTGGATCATTTTCTTGCAGGACTGAACAACAGTAACACTGACGTATCCTTGTACTTTGCACTGGTACCACAGTACCATTGGAAAGGCATTGAAAGCAGATACATCTTTAGGGAAAGTATTTTAAACCACTGACTTTATTAAAATACTTAATACATGGTTTTTAGAGGAATGTACTTACATTTTCTGGAAACTCCACTGAACCCAAATTTTAATTATATATTTAACAAATGACAAAACAGTGGATGAAATCATGCTGTACACCAAAGAGCAGACAAGTTAGGGTATTGTTTTTCATCCTCATCATTATTTTCCTGGCACAGACTCTGCTTTTTAGCTTCAATCTCTTGAATATCTAGTAGCAGAGAAAGGAGGTTTGCATTTCCCATGGCATTAAAACCATCTAGTCCAAGTCAAAGTCCATTTGTTTTCACCACCTTCATTCAAACCTTCCCCAGGAGCCTCCCCTTACAGAAAAGCAAAGGTGATTGACCTCTCTGAAAAGCTACAGGTCACAGTGCAAGACAAGTTTGACAGTCAAATGTGAACATGGAGCTCTGCACCTTCTCAGAATCATTATACTTTCAAAAAATCCATTTCAAACCAAGAGAGGGAAAAAAGACACTTGTCAAAATACAAGGGCCAAAACACATACATGGACTTAGTGGAATGCACATGGAAGACAGCTTGCAGTGCTGCAGCTCTGAAGTAAAAGGTAAATCAGAAGCCAGGTCTTGCTGAAATACAAGATGCGAGAGCTGGGAAGGAGAAAGACGGAAATAACCTGGATACATTCTTAAAAAAAATGAAAAGTCCTAACCTCACAGAGAAGGCTGTAATCATCATACACACTGTAATTGCCATGAACCATGGAGAGCAGTGACAAAGTGTATGCTATGATGATCTCACTGACAAGTATAATCTGGGGGAAATTATTCATACCGAGCAAAGAAATAATTAACTGTGGGTTTCAATGCAAGATGCACAGAGGATGCATAGGTTTTCACATCAAATTAATAAGGCTCTTTTTAAGAGATCATTTTGCAACCTTGCATAGGTGATATTAAATCTTTTCAATAGATAATGTGCAGAAACTATGTACAGTTGAAAAAAAGAACTTTGATGAAAGCATTTTTTCCCCTCAAGTTTTACCATAGTATAAAAAGTAACATATATAACTCCTTCAGTTCTCTAAAACACATGTGGAATATCCCAGAAAGAGAAATCAGGAACACCATCTAAATGATGCCGTGTGCATGTATACAACAGGTTGAAATAACCAGAGAAGCCACCACAAAGCAAAGTCATAAAGTTTTCATACAGAAAAAAAAATACAGGAGTAAATTTTGTTTACAAACAAACATGAAACTCATTTAAACAGAAATGCATTTTAGTTATAACAAATTAATGACCTTCACTAATCAGACTAGTGAATGGATGGATGACTCACACACTAAGTAAATGATAGAAAGAGCCAATTCAATCCCTGCTTGATAAATGGACAGTAAACTTTAAAATCTGCATTTGGTTTCCAATTAATCCCAGCTCAGAACAACTCCTCCCTTAGACAGCCAGACGGCAGCTTCTCAAAATTAATATTATGAACATCTGCCAGTCCGCTGCAACAAAAGCCATTAGGGCATTCATGTGCTTCTTCATTTGGTAAGAAAAAAGTCAGCCAGAGGATGAGCACAGTGCCACAGGACAGCCAACCCCATCTTTGAAAATGAGTGTCCTGTTCCCTGGAACACTCATCTACCACTCCAAAATGACTTACTTTTGTCCTGTAATTATGTAAATCAGGAGACTTTCTGTCTGATGTGGCTCTCGTCCACTGAAACTACCTTCTCCTTTACACAGGAGTTGCCTGGCATTTGTTTTGCCATTTTGTGCCTGGATGCAAAACTTCATTATCAGAGCTGCTAATTACTCTTGCATATCACAGTGATATGTACTTCTTAGTAAGTATTTACAATGGTATCACTGTGGAGAACTAAGCCCTGTACTAGAAACAGTCTCTTTAACAGAGACCTTAATACTAAGGATTTGGTAAATTTCTGATCTACAGATAAAAAGGCAAAGCTAAAATCAGCCCACTATACATTTGGCATTAGGTTCAAACATGAGGAAAAAGCAAACATCCAGCACATTCCCTTGTTTCAGAGGGATGCTATTTACAAGAAGAATTTGCTTTTTTAATATTTCAACAACAAAAACACAGCTAATTTCGAAATTAGAGTAATCTAAGGTGGCTTAGTTTTTAATCAACAGAGAACACAAACAACATTGCTGTTTGCTGTTAAACACAAATCTCAGAAATGCAGGGAAACTATGATCTGTTATACTATGGGTGATAAATCACAGCCAGTTTAATAAAAAGAATAAAAAAAACACTTCTGCTTTTTTAAACACAGCTCCTAAAAAGTACGGCATCCCAGTATTTCCTCAGTTCCAGACTGTTGACATTATAAATTAAAGGTGAAAAGAGATCCATATATAAACAAGGCAGCTTTCCACTGACTTCATTGTACTTGGTTCTTGCCTAAACCTTTGGAAATTTAATCTTCAAATACCATAAGGTAAGGTTGAATTTATCAGTTACAAAACAACGTCCGTTTGTATGTGGAATTCAGAAAAACAAAACAAAACTAAAAGCAAACTCAAAAAACACACACAAGTACTTAGAGCAATTCAGATCTCTCTTTTCCCAGCCTTCACACTTGCATGTCACCTTCTGCAGAACTGTACACACAGAGGATTCTCTGAGACAAGGCCCTATGTTATGGTACGAGGCCTTTTGGGTGGCGGGGGTGGCATCAGTTCAGTGTCAGGATCGAGGTGGTGCTTCCGTGTTTGTCCTTGGGAAGCTGCTGCACATCTGTCAATGAACTCAAACAGCATCTCCTTTGTCACTGGATTCTGGATGCTGTTGCAGACAGCTGGGAACAAAGAACACATTGTCATGTAACTAAACTGATTTGTTCTAGTCAGCACTTCAATAACTTCACCCCCTCTTGGCAAAATAACAACATACTCTGGCTCAAGTATTAAGCCTCAGACACACGCTTTGACAAGGTGGTTGTGTCTGGAGTCACGAATCTCTGCTCTGTCCCCAGAGAGCAAAGCAATGCTGTGGGCCTCTACTCTCGTGGGAGTCTCTCTTTCTAAAACAAACTAAAGGCACATGTGTGTGTAAGGCTCCCTGAAGCAACTTGAAAACCATAAAGAACTGATATCCTGGCAAGGACCAGTGATGAAGGCTTTGTGAGACATGGCTTTGAAACACACATCAAATCCACGTAGATGGAAACAAGGCTGACTTCTAATATTGAAAATATCTGAATTATGGTAACTTATTTTTTTCAACAGTAAGTACTATAAATACCCTAAACCTGCAATGCAGTCCTTTTTATTTAACCCATATACCTTGATGGAGCAGAAAGACTTGACACCAAGCCAATGGCATGCCTGGAACACGGGACCAATTGACGAAGGAGCAGCCATAGTGCTGCGTGGTGGCCAAGGCACACATCCACGGGCACTCCTGGGGTACTTAACACAACTCCCCTGACCACGGTCTGTAAGTCATGGCCCATGGGATTTTATGGGACAAATAAATATGCTTACTTCACTTTAAACAAATGAAATATTCTTTAATACTTTCCTATGTAATTTTGCATTCCCCTAATTAATCCTCCTGAGAGACTTAGAGGAGAAAAAAAAGGAAAAAAGGAGCATGAAATTAAGTGTGAATCCTACAACCATCTTGGAAGAAAGCACAAAATTATTAGAGGATAATTGATAGCATGTAAGGGCTGGCCACAGTAAGGATGCAATTTCCATGGAAAACAATCTACTGACACCCTAGAGTACTAAACATTAGGACTCCTTAAAATGCACTTGCACTGTTATGAGTAACAGTGATTCTCAAAAGCATTCCTTTCTTTCCCACAGCTTACTAGAACCAAAGGATTACTTTACAATTAATAAAGCACTTTTCTGTCATTATTTTTAATTATCTCACTATTTTTGGTGAGAAGGTGCTTTAGGAGTTGTACAGTATTTGACTTTAGCAGTTGGGAAGCATTATGATTATCAGTAATTTAGGAACAGAATTCGAGTCACAGGGCAACTGGTGTAACTCAGCATCAACTTTTGAGCACTGCCTTAGCTTAATCACTCAAAAAGATCTCCTGTTTTCAATTTGAAAGGTAACAAAGTCCAAAAGCAAGATTCAGACAGATGCTTATTTTGTTGCTATTTCAACCATGGGGAAAAATAAATACCATTATTCATCAAGAGAAAGCTAATAGAGGAGAGAGGATCTGGAGAAAGAAGTCTCAAATGATAAAAGTATAACTTTTGGAGATTTTGAAAAATGATCAAAAGTGAAAACTCAAAGTCAAAAGAAAACTTTCTGTTCTGAAAACTCCTACAGAAAAATTGAAACACATTTAAAATTCTTCCTGTGGCATTTAATCTTATTTTTATTTTAATTTTTAGCAAGTTCACTGTGTTTTGGGAGAAAAAAAGGTCAGAAATAACAAAACTGCTCTACAAATGGAGAAAAACAGAAGAGAAAAAGGGCAAATACATATGCTCTTAAGAATGAAGGAAAGAAGAATATGCTATTCATAGAAAAAAATTTAAAAGAGAGAAAACACCAGGGAAAACTAACTATTGAAACACACTAAGGTGAACCAGAAAATAAAAATTTAGGTCATGGTCACAAAGAGATGTTGTTGTACTTTTATGACTTTTGTGTCCATCCCTCTTTCCTGACAGGACTGCTCAGCAAGTATTTCAGCTACATTCTGTGCTGGTTCCCTAAAGTGCCAACAGATTTATTATCTCCTGGCAAAATGACCACATTGCATTTATTCAAGAAAATCTACTAAATGCTCAGGCAGAAATACAAGTGGAACGGTCTAGAGAAAATCCTTCATCAGACTTAGTAATTAGCATGGTTTTAAATGTGATTAAACCTCCTTTTGGCACTTAACAAAAGTCTGTATCAATATGTTTATTGCTACTCAGCCTTGCACACACTTCTACACGAACCCTTACACTTCATCTGAAAGTAAATATCATGCTTTAATTTACAATATTTGGCAAAATATTTTTTGGTAGAGAAAAATAAAAGTCTCACAACTCTGCATGAATATACCCCTACCTTTCATTAGTTTCCTTGCTTCATTGTTTGTGTAACTATTGTTGAAACCCAAGATGATATTTTTCTCCTATTCATTTTCTAGCCCATCTGCCAAATAATGGTTTTGGCATTTTAATGGATTTTTTGTTTAACTAATTCCACTCACAATGTGCCAGTTTGCATTACATCCCAGCAAGCCAACACAATGCTAGGCACTGATGTCAGCTGAAGTGATGCTAATGTAAATAAAAACTTTCTTGGCTCTGGGTTGAAAGTCTTGCCCTGCCATTTCAAGTCATCTTTGCACAAGTATTTGCATTCTGCAAAGACCTAGGTACTTGATTCTGTGTTACTTGTTAAATTCTGCATCAGTGTAGGTTTGACTGACTTTATCAAATAACCTTGCAGCCAGAGGATTAATGCAATCCAAAAACTAGTGATGACATAAGCATTTGCAAGATGAGGCATTATTATAATAAGTTAAAAGAGTCAGGACTCAGACCAGAAATGAGAACAGAGAGTGCTTTTCCTACTTAAAACAGAACAGAGGTAAAACATTAATACTTTAGCCTGGGAGATTTCTGAAGCAAATTGTTCTACTCACCCATGGCAGTGCTGTAGGCATTTGGAAAGCTTTTGTCTATCCTCTGTCTCATGAAGACCCAGCTGTTGTTCTCAAACTTGCACTCTATAATTTTGTTGTCATACTGTTTGAGTTCTTTTGTCACCTGTATAAAAAAAAAGATTGTTTAGGATAAACAGAATTTTAATTCAAAATTTTTTCTTTCTTTTAGGCATAAATAACAGAAGATCAAAAGGTGCCTTGCATTTTTCAGCAATATGCATTCATCCTACACAAAAAAAACTGCACAGAATGCATCTCCATTTTACATATGGTCAGCTACGCAACATTTTTAAAATACTTTTCAAATTTGCTGTCAATATTCAGCAATTATATTATGCTAAAACATCAGCAGTGCTAACAGAGGGGGAAAAAAAGTCACTTCTGGCCCAAATGCAAATAGGTTTCCATGGGAATAAACTGCTTCCAGTTTAAGTGCTACTGCCAGCCTAAGTGCACGAAATGTATTATCCATATTTCATCAACCTTCTTTGTTGAAGGTCTCACAGCAAAATGTCAGATTTCAATACTGGAAAAAGCTTACAAAAAATCATTCCACTCTTTACATGACTGAGGTATTTTCTTCTTTTTTTCTTCATTTGTCTTTAAAAATTAAGACTGTAACTTCAAAATAATGGAGACTTTCAAATGATACATATTCTAAATCTCCTTCAGGCCTCTCTTTATTGATTCATAGATTTGTCAGCAGCCAATATCCTGAGCTATTTGTCTATTTGGAAATGTAGTTTATATGCATTGGACTTCATAGTTGTTTTGGCTACTTCATCGTATGCATCCTAATCTATGATACAATGCAAAAATTTTCATGTAACCATGGTAACCTGAGAACCTTATCTAACACTTTAACAATTTTACCCATATACTTCACTTTGTTCCAAAGAGCCTCTTCAGCAGTATAAAGTTGTATTTAACTGTTAGCTGCTGCATTTAGTTGTTATAGTTTACCAATAAAAAGCTGTACAAGGTAATGTAACACTTTGGATTCAGCATCTTATGCATAAGAGCTCTCATAAAAAGGAGGTGGTTATTGCAATTCATTAGCATAGTTTTTCACCTCTGTTGTCTACTTGATCCTGAGCAGTGACACAGGAATTTACTACTGTCAGAGAGATGCAGATTTAAAAAAGGCCATAGCTGTCTCCAGACAGCTTAATAGCATATACAGTGGAAAAACCCGTGAACCCCTTTTCCATTAACTTCTAAAGACAATTAATTAAGGAAGCGGTCCTGAGCATGGATCAAGTCCTCCTATACTGCACAGTACAAGATTTGATAAGCAGAATCCTAACATTGTCGGTATTTAACCTGAATAGTTGTGTTCATTCCTGGATAAGCAATCTTAGAATTCTACTTGTCAAGTGAATATGAAACTTTAAGAAAATTTTGTAAAACCTGCTTACAATTGAGTCCTGTCCTGCTGCAGGACTGATAGAGTTTGAGTCAGGTTTTCATGTCACACACTATTTTTTATACATTCCAGCACCTGCAAAGAGGCTTTTTTTCTCAAATCATTTACTCCTTAAGTGAAGTTTGTGTCTTCTGTTAATCATTAGATTACTCAGATTAGCAATCTTTTCCATTGGAGAATGCTCTGCACTGCACTTCTTCCATTCACACTGAAAAGCTACATGCAGTCCAGAGGTTTGACTGACACATGTTTATGGATGCATTATGTTTCATTAGGTGTATGCAGGAAAACACAACATCCTTTTCCAGCATACTATGGATATATAAACCCAGGAAGAAACTCCTGGCAGTGCAGTGCCTTGGGAAGATATATTAGTTTGAAAACAGCTGCCTAGTGGAAGTCGGGGCAGCAGGAGGTATGGCCACATGTTTGATTTTCTGCCAAAGCAGGCAAATGTTAGAAAGATCACCTGATAGAGAAGGAAATGTATAAAATTGCAGGTAATGACTTCAACTAACCACCTACCTCATAAGGTTTTCTCATGGCTTATCATTCTTCTAGTGCTCAGATGCTCAGAATAGCAATAAATTAGATGGCAGCTTTATCTGACTGTGGCAATTAAACAATATTATTAACTATCAAGAGACTTGCTTGGCCATTCATTAGCAATCTGGAAGATGGATCTTGCCACAAAATATGAACACCTGCCAAAGCATTGACTTAAATGAATTTTCCCATTAGAAAACTGGTGATCACAGCCTTTAACAATTGCAAGTTGGAGTAATTACTTTACAAAGGAAGAAATACAGCACCTACTCTTCCCTGTACTTTGTTAAGTGACCTTAGTCTTACAAAGGTTCTTATTCTAATATAAAAGAACCTTTTAGCAACTGCTGGCCATTTGACTGAAACTACAAGTATTCTGAGCAAAACACACTTTCAGTATTAAAAACACTCTTCCACTATTGCATCTTAGTAGACTTCTAAATGGGTATTGTTTATACAAAGGACTGAAAAAGGCCACAGTGATTCTTGTACCCATAATTCACACCTTATATCTATCATGCATATGCTACTTTCTGGTATTTCAGATTCAAAGTGGGACAGGGAAACCATCAAATTTAACTGTTTAGAAATTTCTTCCCTTTGGGAATTAATTCTGACCTCGTCAGCACAGTGTCTTTGATTCTCCCTTTGCAGTGTGTTCATCCCTTCTTCCCTTTAAATATTACAGTGCATAGCAGTATTCAAAAAATGCACCATCACTTCTCTTCCTGACAGGTACTTCTTCTAGGTTCTAGTGCTTCATAGAAGGTCAGTTAGGAATGATGGCAGTTCTCAGCCAAAATGCTTATCCTCAGTGCTGGTACAGTGCCAGTGCTCCTGCCATAGTGTTGATAAAGGGCCTTGAACCAGCATTCAGCAATTTCAAGATGGAAACTCCCACCACACTAAGGACTCCATGGAGCCTGCCTTAATTAAACATTTATTCCTTAGCCTATTTCCGGACAGCCAGTCAGAATCAGAATCCCAAAGGATCAAGTCTTGAGCTGGTCTGGGCAGCAACTGTGTCCTGGGCAAGGACAAACACCAACCTGTACACTTATTTCTTTTCAAGAGGAACGAAACTGTTCAGCAGCAGCAATGTTCAGTGTTCCTGCCTGTACTTGATCTAATTATCAGGAACCAGCCTATTTGCCTAACAGAAATAATTTCCAAAACCACAGAGGAGCATCCTGTTGGAAGCTGATTCACTATATTACTGCTAGTCTGCAAGGTGTGATTGGAAAAAAATCGGCTTGAACTGCATCCCCATTTCAGCAATAGTTCATTATCAAATCAGACTGATGTAATACAAGACCATTGCCTAAGAATGTCAGATTACATGATTATGTCTTCCCCTCCCTGCTGAGAAAGGCTTCCCCCATCCTCATCATCTGGGCCATTCACTGGGAAGAACTTCAGTGGCAAAAGCTTATTTCTTTTTCTAAAAATGAAGATAGTTAAGGCTTAGAAAATCTCTCATTTTCCAGGTTCCTTCTATCCCCTATGTTCTGAAAGAAAGGAAAAATATATTTTAAAAATTTAAAATATCTAACCTATTTCAAATTTTCTTGCCTGGCTGAATAAAGGAGTCATTTTGAGATGAGCAATATGCAGCCAAAGTTTCTGTTAAATCAGCTCAAAATGTGAAAAAAAAGCCTAATATATCCAGTTGAGAAAGAGAAGAAACCATTTAAATTGAATGTAGTTAGCTCCAGTCTCATGAAGATGCCTTTACTATCTCTGCTGACTAGCAGCAGCCAGTGCTTTTCTGTGTCTCTCCACAAGGCACCTGATTGTCAGACTGGTCCATCATTCTACTCAAATTTTGTCTCATCACTGTTAAACCCAAAGGAGAATGAAATCCCTGGGCAAGCTCCTACTCTACATAAGAGGCACTAACAATGCAAATTTAGATGTTAAGGTAATTGTTAGTATTTCAGAAAGCAAGTCTACAACAGACAGGCTTAAACTTTACAAATGCATCTACTTTCCCCATTTTAAAGTTCTTTAGAAAGAAAAAAGGAGATAAGCCTTTAGATAAATGGAGACTTGACTGAAAGAAGTCTTATGTTTCCATATACATGGTTTTTTTCAAAGCAATTGTAATTATTTCAGTTTAGTAAATAATCCCCTTTAAAGAAAGTTTCACACAGAAGCTGTGAGAGCTGGGCCAGGCCTAGGACTTCCTGAAGGAATAGGATGGAGACAGGAAAATAAAGAAGCAGTATTAACGAAATAAAAACAAGTTCTGAAGATAAAAAAAGTTCTGAAGATAGAGAAATAAGCCAAACTCAAAGCAGGATCTTTTTAAAGACCAAACACTTAAAGGTGAAGAACTTCAAGGACATTCATGTCAAACCAAGGCAATTGAGAGGAAATGAGGTGTGAGAAACAGGGATCCTTTGAAAGCACTCTTACATGTGATTGCTGGTGAGGTCATGAATGTAAGAAATTAGATTGATTTGAGTGAAAACATCTGAGACAGTCATTAGACATGAAGTTATTAGAGCCCCCAGCACTTATAGGGCACAGTCCACCACCTAACACAGATCCCAAGCTGTTCATTCAGTGCTTCTTCCTAACTCTTGGACTGTTTTTGTTCAGATGATTTTGAAGAACTTTTTTCCCCATTCACATAGAGTACCTCATGATTTTCACAGCCAAATTTCTCAAAGAATAAAAAATTTACAAGATGGTTACTAAATGCCTGTTCACATAAACCGTGTACACTGAACCATGGGAATACTGTCTGCTGGAAAAAGTTCATCAGTTAATCTGCTTTGCATTTTAACTCAAGCCCAAACATATTTTGTAATGAAGTTTAATATCTATTTCTTCATATGATTCAAGAGATTATTTTATCAAACCATAGATTTCTTGCTAAACTAAACATACTGATTGTGTTTCCTTTTTAAGGAATGTATTACTCAACAAATGGTTATCAGCTTGGGTAAACACAATGCAGTTGAGATGGTTATTTAACATTAATAAAGCCTTCTAAGTGTAGCTATGCTGCTTCTTATGTACACAGGAAATGGAAATGCTCCAATTTTGAGATGTCATTCCTGAAAAGGAATATTAAGAAATATAAAATTTGAGCACTTTTGTTCATGCCTCGTTAAACCACAATG